CAATCAGGCTATTCTCTCACACTCGGTCTAGAGCTACCTTCCTTTACTCATCTGAAACATGAGTTGCTCTGCTTTGTCCCTATTCTGTAGCAGAAGGTACGTTCGGTCTCTTAACCCTCTACTCATCTTCTTCATTTACCTTCGATTCCCCAAAGTAACCCTTGATGCTTTCGGTGTTTACCACTGAGGCTTATGGTTGCACAACATCTGTGTTTATGATCTTAGATTCGTTTACCACGTTCTAAGTGAAACCCAAAATCCAATACCTGAAATGAATTGACGGTGAGTGATAAACTCAAGCTATTACTTGGAAATCTCCGTTTCTTTTTGTGTGATCTTTTATGAAATTGTCTCCACCTAAGACATTTCTTCCCAAAGAGGTCCAGTTTAATTTTTCTTTGAGATTTCTGTCTATACTATTCACGTCACGAAATACTTCCCACCCACCTGTTCAACAGATCACATCGGTCTCACAGGTATCTCTACCAACACTCAGTTTTATGTTAAGACTTGATGTTCGGTTTGAGCTCAGCCACCCTTCAGCCCATTATAAAAAAGATTCCTTTCATTGTTTGTTAAAAGACAACTGATCGTATTTCTCGGGAAACCACACAAGCACTTCAGGTCACTCTTGGCTTTGAAGGAAGCGATTCTTGCCCGGAATCTTCCGCTTTCTGTCTTCTTAATAGACAACACTCACATCCCAAACACCTTTGATTTATTCCTTTATCTTTCACACTCTTATGCACGAAAATTAATTTTTTTCAACATTCTGATTGCTGTTTGGTATTTGGTTTTAAGTTTCAGTTTCTAACCAAACAAGGGCACAAGGAATTTCAAACGGTACGAAAATGATTTGGGCGCATGCAATTGATTCGTTTCACACCCACGTGTGCTGACGTATTCCTAGGATACACCATAACTTCCAATCGTGCTTTTTCAGGCGACGTTTTGGTTTCTTCATCATCACGATTTTCTCTCTCCTGTGAACAGTATAAATACGGGGTGATCGTGTTCTTTGGCATTTACCTCTCAAGAATTCTCTCTCTGAAAAAGTTTCCACTGTTCATCTTCTTCAACAACTCAACAATGGCGACTTCTTCTTCCACACAAGATCAAACTGCATCCTCCTCTTTGCTCTCAATCAAACCTAATCAGAATTTGATCATAGAGATGACCCCATTCCTATATGACTCATACATGCTACACGTGGTGGAATGCCTCAAATATTCCCCATTGTTGTTGGCACTAACGCAGGTGGAGGCCGTTCCCATGTCCCTGCTCTCCCAAGTCTACACAACGGCCAACTACGATAAACATAAAGACCACATCTTCTTCACCATTCACGACAAGAAAACCTCGGTGTCCAAAAGACGGTTTTGCTCTCTTCTAGGGCTTGTCGTCGACTCCTCCGTCATCTCACCAGACTTCATCACCACGGTGCAACTTTTTTCGATGATGTATGAAATGGGGTATACGGATGTTCTTACCACCATTGCCAAAGTCAAGAAATCATGTCTTCCGTCTCAGTGGAACGGATTGCTTACCCTTCTTATTAAGGGTTTAGCAGAGAGATGTGGTGGTTCTGACACCACAAGCAAAGGGTTTCTGACCATCATGTATGGTCTTTACAACGGCATCAATCTAGATTATGGCTCCATAATCTGGGCTCAAGTCGTTCAGAGTCTCAACACAACTGCCAGGTACTCTGAGATCTCATGCAGCAGGTTTTGGACGCTTATTACCAGAAGGGCCATGGATTCCCTAGACATCCCGGTAATGAAGGATGCTCTTACGGCTTCAATTGCTTCTTACCACACCAAGAAGATCATAGTCTCCGATCCAAGTAAGTTTCTTCACTATGGACTGATCCCTGAGTCCATGTATAGGTGCGTCACGCCACACAGCAAAATCATGGCTGACTACAGCACCAGAACACCCTTGCCTCCTAGGGTTCTGACCGAGGAACAACGTGCTGCTCTTGATGCCCTCGATCAACCTGCCAACCGTGGCAAGAGGGCAAGAAAAAAGGAGAAAGCGGAGAAGAAAGAACCTGCACCAAAGAAGGAGAGAAAGAGAAGATCCTCCAAACGCAAATCTGAGGCAGAGGCACCTTCTCAGTCAAAATCGAAAAAGGTCAAGAAGATGGCTAAAAGAGCCAAAGGGTCTCCTTCTTCTGAATCTGCTCCGAATGCCCCATCAGACACAGAGGCTGCTGCTCCACAAACTGAAACAACACCTGTTCAGTCTCCTCAACAACCATCTTCTCCAACGGGCACTTATCCACCCTCTCCACCAGCATCTCCTCAAATTCCCAAATCACCCTCTCCACCTACATCTCCCCAACTTACCAAATCACCCACTCCTCCTACTTCTCCAAAAATTCCAACCCCACCCCAATCACCCACACAAAAGGTCACACTTTCTATTCCTATATCTATCCCCCCAACCACAACAGAACCTACCATTCCCTTATCTGTTTCTCAACCTTCATCCTCTATCTCCACGCCTATTATCACCGAATCTGTTACTATCACCTCTTCCCAACCACTAGTAATGGTCAATGTATCTGATACAGGGGTTGCTACTGTGGTTGAAACCCCGGTCATCAACCTTCCCCCATCTCCTTCTCCATCCTCCAACTCCGGTGCTACCTTGGGGGGTGATGATGAAGAGTTCGACTCTATCTATTATAGCCCCTACCGGATCCCTACAAACACAGATGCTGATACCCCTGTTTCAAGTCAGTAGATTCAGGAAATTCACGCCAAACTTGACAGTCTGCTGGCTGACAATAAAGCCTACGGGGGTGTTGTGCTCAAAGCCTTCATAGAGTTTGCGATCAAGACGTACACTGACGCCATAGATAACTCAGCTGCTTCATGCTCAAAAGCCACCAAGGAGGTTTCTGAGGTTGTTCACACAACTCAGATCTTTCTTGATTCTCTAAAAGCTCACGCTGACTCTAGTGCGGCCAAATTTCAAGCGTCTGTAGACTCTTTCTCGGCTACCCTTCAGGGTGAAACCACCAAATTTGAGGCTCTGCGCGCTGACCTCAAAACTGAATCCACCTCATTCCTCAAAACTTTGGATTCACGTTTTGCTTCTCTGGCAGCCAAGAGCACCCTGAAGGAAGATCTTGTCAAGCACTAGGCAACCATCGACCTTCAAAAGATCCAACTGGCCCAGGCACATCAAGAAATTTCTTTGCTACAGACTCAGCGGGCAGTTCTTCAAAGTTGCGCTGGTGATGTCAAGAATATGCTAACAAATGTTCTTGACACCCATGATCCCTTCCTAACCCTCACTATCAGACAGCATCTCCAGGCGAAACTCCTTCCTGCTATTAATATCTTAAGTGAAATGAAGGGTGTCTCGGAGAAGCTTGTTCTTCCGCGACAAGGGGGAGAGGAAGGTTTGTCCAAGACAGAACCGAAGGTTAATGTAGCTTCGGGTTCTGGGAAACAAGTCCTTGTTGAGAGCGAATTAGATTCTATGAAACTATCACTGAAGCTCTTCAACGCAAGAAAAAGGGACAAAGAGCTTGATGAAACTCTGAAGATAGCTCGAGAGGCCGAGACCAGGGAAAGGAAGATCAGGGAGGATGACGAGGCTATTCAAGCCAAGAAGACTATGTTCCCAGATTGGGACAGAGACACACTCATCACTCAAGCGATTGAGTTTCCTTCCATATATTGGTTGGAACCGATTGCATCCTTCGAGTGTGAAAATACAAAAGACTCGCAGTTCGACATGCCAATCACGCGCAAAGCTTTCACATTTCATTGCTTTGATGTCACTGCCGATGTCCCTCATCTGAACCTGAAGGTTGACAGAGAGCTAATAGATTTCTATCTAAAATATGGTCAACCGTAGTACTTGACATGGAGCGCTCAGAAAATCATTAAAGTCAAGGTACTGAAACCGACACAGGCTGGGAAATTTGTGAACGTTAATTTCAAAATCAACAGAGGAACGGCCAACACAGACCATCTTATTTCTCTGGCAGATCTTCCCAGTCTGAATCCGCATGATTGGATTCTGCTATACAACATTCTTCTCTCCAACCAAAGAGAGTATGAACCGATTCTTAAACATCTTAAAAGAATGTTGGCTTCCTACGTCCATGAGCTCGCCACTATGGATCAGGAAATAGCAAAAGTTATGAACAAGAAACCGACCGTCAAGCCTACTTCCAAGACAGGAGATGTTCATAAAATGAAGGTAGGGCAAATTGATTCTTCCAATCTGACGGTCATGTTCACCAGAGGCGACAAGCATAAGTTTCTGTTTGCTTTGGTAGACAAACATCTGTTTTCTACAGATTGTCTGGAGCACATTATTAATATCATTCACCGATGCAAACAGAACTCAACAGCAGACAAGAAGAACTTCACTGACATGCTTCGTTGGTATATCACCTTCAGGCATCACATTCTAGCTTTAATACCGAAGATTTTTGAGACGGTAAAGAAGCCCTCTGCTGTGAAAAGAGAGTGAAGGTCTCGCTCCAAATTGACGCAAAGGGGGAGATTGTTGGGCTGAAGATTATTTTGAAGATTGCGTCTTTTGGGCTCGATAGTATAAGTCTTTGTATTCCGGTTTGGGCCTGTCCAACCGAGAACCTTTTATGTTTTGTATATAAGTTTACGCTAGCATGCATATTAGGTTAACGATTTTAGAGATAAACAACATAGCGTTTCATCTAGAGAATAACAGGTTTCTTTAATCGTTCTTGTAACCTACCAATCCTCTTCAGTTGATGTTCTTAATCGAGCTCTTCTGAGGATTTTGTTTAATCATTCGACACGTTTGATTCCATCTTGACTTGTTCTTATTATTGCGTTCATACAGTTTTATATTTACATACTTGTTCAAGATCTAATCGATCTTTGTAGATTAAAGGTTGGTTTAATCTCATCAGATGCACTTTGTACCTTGGAGTTATTCAACAATGTCAAACATTTCCTTTAATTATGCCCTTTAACCCCACATGTTTTTCATGATCTTGATTGCTTGTTACCTTGATTAGTAGCCTTCTCCAAAGCACTTTTGAAACGTTTTCCTGTACCAAAACCTTTATTCTTCACCATAGGTGGATTTTCAACATCAACAACTTCAGGATTCGTAGTAGCTCCGTAAAGTTTATCAATATGAGCCTCTTTAGTAACCGGTAATTTGTCTGAACCTTGTTCACCAATATCAGTCATAAAAACTTCAAGCTTCTGCATGAACTCTTCTAACTTCTTGTCATCATTACTTAATGAAGACAAGCATTGATCAAGCATGGAAAAAGCTTTGTATGCAACCTTCTCAACATTTCCAGATGAATCACCGTATCTAAACGTCCTTTTCAAAACTGTGGTGGGGATAATATCTCTTCTCCATCTCTTAAGAATTTATCTTGATGGAATCTCTTGTATGTCATAAATCTTTAGAATACAGAAGATGTGTCTACAAAAAATTCCAAACCGCTCAAAAAGCATGCATGAACATTTCACCGTTAGATCTTCTCTGTTGAATTTAACCTGTTTCAAAAGTATTAGGATAATAAGTATATTGAAAAAAGAAAAATTATAATATTTTTTCAAAATTATTAGAATATTAAGTATATTCTAAAATGTCAACATTACCTCAAAATCACCTTCACTTGTGTCAAAATTCCATTCAGAATCGATGTCAACTTTTTCTTTTTTCTCAACTACTACCTTCTTCTTTGATATATTTGTCCTTTTATGTTTCACAATGCATATGTCAGAAACAATGCCTGATGTAACACTCTTCTGTGAACAAGAAACAAGTGAATGAAAAATCTCCCTCGGCACCATGAGAAAAATAGTCCTGGTGTATACCACAGATGCATGTTTCTCCATATCTTCAAGAGGTGTTTTGATGATTGGAATTATAGTAGATGTATCAAAATCAAATTTGATCTGATTATTCCTTTGCCTTTCCATAACAAACTCAAAAGAATTCATGAAATTGTTAAATGTATAACCATGATGCGATACCCTATTGAATGTTGAATTCTCACTTTCCGACCGAGAAGTTGTTCTCATTAGACCTGACATCGGTACATCTTGAAAATAGGCTGGAATCCAACTGCTTCTCAAATCAAACATATCTTTCATCCATTTATTGTCTTGCAACTTATATTTTACCATTAATGCATCCCATCTCATTTCAAAATCATTGACAACAATTTTGGAGTCCCATACTATACTATTGAAGCCCACCTTAAAATCTGATTCATTCATTGTTTCCCAGCTTACCTTCAAAAACAATTCATATATTATTGTGCTAGAATATAATATAGTATAAAAAGGCATTTCATTTAATCTATTATCCTAATTATAAAAAATATTTCATTTAATATTCTAATAAGAATATTCTGATAAGAAAAGAACAATAATGTCATATTTATATTGAAAATAATGTCATATTTATACTGATAAGAATCTAACAATAATGTTAGTAACTTCAATGGAAGTTTACTTGTGATATGCCACATACAAAATCTATGTTTTGTGTATGGCAATACTATCTCAATAGCTTTTTTTCATTGCTGGATCTTGATCGGTCACGACCATGATTGGTGCTTTTGCAAAACACTTCAAGAATGACCAAAGTAACCAAATATAGGAATTTCTATCTCCTCTACACAACAAACCAGCTCCAAAAGTGAAGCACCTTTTGTGATTATCAATGCCAGTAAAAGGTACAAATACCATACAATACCTAAAAAAACACAAAAAAATACCATTAGAATATATAACTAAAAATGTTTATAATTCTAGAATAAATACATGTTTGTACGATATGTTGCGTCAAACGAAACAACGTCCCCAAATAACTCAATGTTTTGTTTTGAAGTGTCATCAACCCAAAAGAGAGCATTTAACTGCTTCTTGTCACATCTGTATTCGTATGTAAAATTTGTAACATTCTCTTTACGATTCTGAAGCTTTGTAATCAACAAATTTGCATCAGTGACCCCGATGTGACAATTTATATCCCTTGTAAAATTTTTCCAATCTATCTCTAGTCCATCAACAAATTCACATCCTCCTTTTATGCTGTAGTTGCCCCCACCTTTGCACTCGAAAGCTTATGTATAAAAGCTTGATCAACAACATTTAACTGACATTTAGCTCTTGAAAGATGCATACAATCTTGATTGATCAATTTGTGGTTGTGTTGTTGTTCAAAGCGCCAAAGGTAAACTTCTGAAGAATGTGGTATAACTTTGAATGCAACAAAAGCTTTGCAATTTTTGCGTTTACAATTACTATTTCTTAATTGCTTGTTATGATCATCACTAATTGTGTCTAAGGTAGAACTGTTTGGCAATCCCCCTCTATTGCATATAAAATACTTCGAAGTTATGATTCCACTCTTTTTCCTCTCTGTTGATTTTCTAATATCAAAACCAGATCTTAATGCATATCCTTTATACCACTTAATAGCGTCTTTGATATCTTTAAAAATTGAACCCAAAGTAGGTATCCAACTAGCTTCAACCTCTGGAATCCAAAATAAAGAACAATTAGCTGCAATGAATTGTTTGCAAGAGCCATATTGTGCTGCAACATTGTCACTTTGAACTACAAAAAAGAATATACCACCATGTTAACATATAATCAGAATAATTTGCATTCATATGACTGTAATCATAAAAAACTACAATGTTATATGTGCATTATTCTATAAGCATAATATGCAGTAACATGAACTTATCACCAACATCATTCTATAAAGAATAACCGATATCAGTAACAGAATTACCTTGGATTTCCGATTGATTTCCATCATTATGTAGAATCTCTGAATCACCATAGATGAATTGATGATTTTCTTCATCGTAATGATCATTTCCGATGTCATTCATATCTAAATCATACATAATTGTTACTACATTAAAAATTCAATATGTTATATGCAACTAACAATGAAAGCAATGATTACCTTGGGTTTCCGATTGATTTTCCTCGTTATGAAGAATCTCTGAATTAGTAGAACTGAGCTGATGATTTTCTTCATCGAGATGATTGTTTTCGATGCCATGCATATCCAAATCATCCATAATTGTTATCATTATTGATATATCAATGTATCTACAATATTCTATAAGAATAACATGCAGTCTCATGAACTTATCACTAAGATGATGTTAATGAAAAGCAAATAGATGATGTTAATCAAAAGAAAATAGATGACATATTGATGAAAAACATAATGATTGAATGAAAGTTAAAAAACAAACAATGAAATAGATGATGCATTGTCAAATAACATATTATAGATTAAATTGTTTTCTAGCTCAAACAAATTCAACAACAAATGATCTTTGATTGCTGAATTGGATGTCTCAACAACAGATGATGTTTGATTGCTGAAATCACAATTCATACAAATATAAAATTGGAGAAATCGATAATAGTTGATGATTCAATTCATGAACTAGGTTAAAAATTGAATACGTTATATGCAACTAACAGTGAAATCGATGAAAACTCAAACCTTGATCAATTGACGATTTCATGATGTTGAGTAAAATTCACGGCTTGAAAGATCGTAAACAATTGTTGAAGATGAAGATTAGCAGAAATCGTTGAACACTTGAACCTCTACCAAAATCGATGATCACAAAGTTAAAATTGATCAAAATCACTCAGCTTATCAATTGCAGATGAAGAAGAATCAAGAATATGAACTCGAAGAACACAAAAATCGTGAATTTAAAGCTGTGATTTAGCATCGTTCGATCAATGTCCAAATTAAATCAATTATCGGTTGAAAGAATATAAGATTGGAGATAGAATATCGATCAAATTGAATTAAAGAACAAGGAATTTTGTTTCATCGAATAAATTGGTAGAAAACAGGAACAAGTGAGATGATTTATAGATGACGTGAAAATTAAGCTAACCTGATCATCTTAAATTTAACCTAGTGACTAGTCTACCCCTAATTAACTAATCAGCTAGATTAATTAATGTTAATCACTTTTTTTATGAGCCACAAGATCAAATTTGATCAAAGGCTAAGATTTGGTCCCCATGTCTTACAAAATATAGGTGGTCTCAAATGAACCTCTACCTATATATATATATATATATATATATATATATATATATATATATATATATATATATATATATAAACCGGTTCCGATGGGTACCCAGCGGGTAACGGTTCCGAAAAAACGAGAACCGGAACTGGAACCGCTTAAGGTGGTTCCAGTTCCAAAACCGGCAGTTCCGAGACGGTTTCGGTTCCAAAAGCGGGTACCCAGTTCCGATGCTCATCCCTAGATGATATTATGGTCTACTCAAAGACCAGGGAGCAGCATGAGCAGCATTTTAGGGAGGTATTGGAGACCCTGAGGGTGAAGAAACTTTTTGTGAAGTTCTCTAAATGTGATTTTTGGCTACGGGAAGTACAATTTTTGGGGCATGTCATCAATCAGGAGGGAATTTCGGTCGACCCAGCCAAGGTGGAGGCGGTGATGTGATGGGAGGTATCGAGGAATGCCTCAGAGATTCCTCATTTCTTGGGTTTAGCGGGCTACTATCAAAAGTTTATCTAGGATTTCTCCAAGATCGTTATGCCACTGGCCCACTTGACCAAGAAGAATGTGACCTTTTGGTGGGGTAAGGATCAGCAGATGGTGTTTAAGACCCTGAGACGGAGGTTATGCGAGGCTCTGATTCTAGTACTACATGAGGGGTTGGATGATTTAGTGGTGTACTGTGTTGCATCGATTTCAGGGTTGGTGCGGTATTGATGCAAAGGGGGCATGTGATTTCTTATGCCTCAAGGCAGTTGAAGCCTCACGAGGCGAATTACCCCACGCATGACTTGGAGCTGGAGACGGTGGTGTTTGCCCTTAAGATCAGGAGGCACTTTTTGTATGGTGTGCGGTTCACAATTTATACTGATCACAAGATCCTAAAGTATATGATGGATCAGTAGAACCTCAATATGCGGCAGAGGAGATGGTTGTATGTTCTGAAGGATTATGATTGCGAGATCTTATACCATCCAGGGAAGGACATCGTGGTGGCCGATGCATTGAGCCGCAAGACGGAAAGGTCCCTGATTAGGGACATTTGTATGAGGATGAATGTGATTTCACCTTTGTTGGATATGATCAAAGGGGCTCAGGTTGAGGGGGTGAAGAAGGAGAACTGGAAAACAGAAAAAATTCAGGGACAATATCCCTTGATTGTCAAGGATAGTTGCGACCTTTTGACTCGATGTGGCCGAGTGTGGGTACCAATGGCAGGGTTAGTGAGGCAGAAGCTACTAGAGGACGACCACAAGTCCAAGTTCTCTATACACCCAAGAGCTACAAAAATGTATAGTGACATGAGACTGAGTTATTGGTGGCCCTGCATGAAGCGGGAGATTGCTTGGTTTGTGGAGCGGTTCTTGACCTGCAGGAAGGTCAAGGTCGAGCACAAGTAACCTCATGGCAAGGTTCAACAACTACCCATCCCCATGTGGAAGTTGGAGGAAATCACTATGGACTTCATTACAAAGCTTCCGAGGACGGCGAGGGGCATGGATGCCATATGGTTCATCGTGGACAGACTATCAAAGATTGCCCATTTCATTCCAATTTCTGAGATTATATATCTGCGAAGAAGTTTGCAAACATTTATGTTCATGAGGTGGTGGCTAGACACGAGGAGCCGGTGTCAATAGTCTCCAACAAGGATCTCCGGTTTGCATCCAGGTTTTGGAAAAAGTTCCACAAGGAATTGGGCACCCAGTTACATTTCAATACGGAAAATCATCCTCAGGCTGACGGTCAGAGTGAGAGGATGATCCATATGTTAAAAGACATGTCCATGCATGCATGCTAGATTTTGGAGGAAGTTGGGACACATATCTCCCACTGGTAGAGTTTTCGTATAATAACAGTTATCACACCAGTATTGACTAGATCCATTTACAATATTATATGGTTGGAGGTGCAGGACCAACGTGTGTTGGGACGAGGTTGGGCATTGGGTCATGGGGAGCACTGAGGTAGTGCTCAAGACTACCGGGTTGATTCAGCAGGTGCGCGACGGGTTGCGAGTCGCGCAGAGCCGTCAGAAGAGTTATGCTGATCGACGACGAGTAGCTCTCCAGTTTCAGGAGGGGGACCTTGTTTTGCTGAAGGTGTCTCCTTGGAAAGAGATTATCAGGTTTCTCAAGAGGGGAAAGTTGGAGCCTCGGTTCGTAGGCCCGTTCAGGATCACAGCCCGGTGGGCAAGGTAGCCTATCGTTTAGAGCTGCCAGAGGAGCTTAATTATAATTCACAACACCTTCCATGTGTCTCAGCTTTGAAAGTGTGTTGTCGATGGTTCTGCAGTTATCTCCTTGGATGACATTCAGGTGGATGGGAGCCTACATTATGTTGAGATATTGGTCACCATCTTGGACAAGAAGACAAAGGAGCTTCAGAACAAGCAAGTGAAATTGGTTAAGGTGAAATTGCAGCGCCGAAAGGGCTCCGAATGGACTTGGGAGTCGAAGTAGAAGATGCGAGAACATTACCCCAATCTGTTTGCATCTGCGGACTTCAGGGATGAAGTCTAATCCAAGTGGGGGAGAGTTGTAACACCCTAAATCTGGTATGCCTTGAAACCCTCACGATTTGACTTATGAGCATAATTGGTCCCTCGAGTACGCTATGCGTACACTTAGCATACTCTGCATGATTGATCGCGGAGGAGCCTCATGTACGTTGGGCGTACATTAGGGTACGTCGGGCGTACGCCTCAGAGAGCCAAAACCCTATTGTCGGACATGAGACCCATTTAAGCAACCTTAAGCCCCTTGGACATATCCCTAGAGAGCCTCCACTGCCTTAGAACGCCCTTATCCTCCAGAGAACTTGTGTGAGATGATTTTGAGCTTAGAGAAGTGCTTTGTGACTCTTTTAGTGTCCATTCCAAGAAGAAGAGGTGGTTTTTCAAGCTTGGAAAGAGTTGGTGCTTCAAGATCCTTCATCCTAGTCATCTTGCAAAGCTTTTGGAGGTATAAAGCTTGTACCTTTCCATCTTAATCTCTAGTTCTAGCTAGGGTTTCTTGTTTGGTCCCTTTTTGGTTATTTTGTACCTCCTTTGAGAGTTTAGCAACTCTAGGAGAATGGATAGACATATCTGAGGTCCTTTGGTCCTTTAGTACCATAAACATGGAAGCTTGATGAGATCTTTGGCCTCATACATGGGTTAAAGACCTTGGAAAGGTCTGAATGGAGAAGTTAGGGGTGTTTGAGTCATTCAAAGGCATAAAGTTGCCAACTTTATGCCTTAGGAGATCTTTACAGACTTAGATCTGGCTTTTGAACGTAAAGGAATCAAGTATTAAGCACTTAATGGGGAAAGTGCTTAAACTGAGGGTACGTTGGGCGTAACTCAGTGTACGCGGAGCGTAGTCCCATGTCCCAGTATGCGGCGCATACCAAGATGGTACGCCGAGCGTACGCAATGCAGATGGGCCGAATCTGTTTTGGGCCCTTAGGTTATTTAGGCCTCATCTGATTATTGGGCATGGTATAATCTGGGAATTATAAGTCATATAATTGTTGCGGGCCATGGAATTAGTGTTGGGCCTTTATTGGGCCAAGAAGCCTATTAAGGATTTTGGACTTAGGCTTTGGGACCATTAGCAAAGGATGGACATTAGGCCTTATGGAAGGGTTGGGGAGCTGAGTTCCCTTGATTAACCAAAGTTCTAACATTGATTAATATTATCATTCAGCTTGGGAGGTTTTAGACTGTTAAAAGAGTAGCTATTGTTTTCAGCAGACAAAGGTGAGTCTCCTCACCATACCAATGGATCTAAGGCACCAAGGTCGGCCCATTATGTGATTATGATGCATGTGTTATACATCATGTGATATTATATGTTATGTGATTGTGTTTGTATGAAAGACCTCAGGGGGTTCCTGAGGCCCTTAGGTGTAAGAACTTGGAGGGCTTCCTTGGCATCCTAGGTCAAAGACCTCAGGGGGTTCCCAAAGCATTGGGCTAAGACCATGTGGAGGTTCCCATGGCACCCGGAGTAAGACCCTGGAGGGTTTCT